GCTCGGGTTTAATCGACCGCCACTCAGGTGATCTCGGACCTGTCATTTTACCCGCTAAGCCTGTGCATCTGTGGCTCCAGTGCACCTCACAGCTCCAGCTGAACATGTTAAATTTATCCCAGTTTGGTTCTGATTAGGTAATCTTACCCCATAACAGGATACCCTTGATCACTTACTTATGTGTGCAACAGTTAGCTGAAGTTTTACACCAACAATTTGGCAGCAGCGGCAACTAATAAGGGATCAGAACATAAACAGTGGATTTGGATTTGATATGAAAACAAAAAGCAGCAGAGACTGGCTGGTGCTGCAGTGCGCTGTTAACGTAATTTTAGATACACATTTATCACTAAAGAAACAGGCTGACTAAAGCCAGACTAAAGCCAGACTAAACCCAGTCTGCTTTCGGTGTTGTGTTTTGATGCATTTCCTTCATAATATTTTAGCTTATTTCCTTTTTTTGTTGTTGTTATTTTGAATGTGGACACTTGTGCAACTGCATCAACTTTGCAGTGCAGCTGCAGTTTTAAGTAAACCAGTACTGCCACAAAATCTGCTGAATTTCAATACATCGATGGAATATAAGGTGTTAGTGTGTTTACACTGACGTCAGTGTTTCATACAGTGAAAATACACAGGTCATGTACAGAGTCTAGAGCCAAAATAAGCCCTGTGGTCAATCTCCTTATACTCAGATGTACCAGCTCATCCTCATTCAATACACAGTGCTTGCTGTATTCCCTTTTATTGCATTTCTTTCTTACCATTTCTGTCCAGGAGAGCTACTCTGATCTAATGCTAATGATCTAATGTACCCCCGTTTTCCATTTTCCTCCGTCTCTCTCAGAGGAATACGATGGACAACAGCTTCATTGCGTGCAGGAAGAAAGCCAGCCATGAGAGCACAGTTAGGAGCCAACACGGGCAGCAGATTGGGTACAAGCCTCCAGTCGCCTGGTAGAAGCTTTAACCTCACAAAAGAAGCAGAGGGGTCTTGTGTCAGCTTTGATATGTAGACCGTGGTAGTCAGTCTTGGCTGAGAGTGCCAAACCCTTCCTCTAGAGGGCAGTTTGATCGCGTAAGCACACTTCCTGTCTGATTAAAAGCACACTTTTCAGTGGTTTATAGTGAGCTGAGCACATGTTCGTGCTTGTTCAAACAGAAGTTATTTGTGACTCAGATTTGCAACAGTCAATGAGCACACTCCCAAATGTGTCCTACATAAGAGCCATTATATGGTTTATCTGTCCTATCTTTACACAACGCTTCACCAGATCCTGTTGGTTGTAATAAAATTCAGAAGTCACTCCATGAAATCAAATATCTACAAATCACGTGTGTGAGGATTTACTCGGGATGGGAACACAGCAGCTGAAAGAGAGGCGATCCAGACACAATTTAGGAGTCACAAGCGATGAAAGACATGAAAGCTTTATACGTCTGGGCCATCACGACTTTCTTTTTAACACAATTAACCTCACAGTCACAGTCAGTTTGCCGGTTTTAATCTTAGACTGACTTTGAGGAAAAAGGTACACGACAACACTTCTTCAAATCTCTTAGTGAAGGAGACACAGATCCATTAAGTTAAGTAATCTAATTTAAGGATTTCCCCCTTGAAACTGAGATTACCTGCTTATGTAAGGGTTGATTGTGCCAGCAGGTGAGCTACTGTGTCAATGGAATACACAGCTGGAGTAAACACAGCTGAAACTTCCTGTTTTATGTCGCGTGGCACACAAACTGGTCCGTCAACTTCCTTGACGCTGATGCAATCACTCAACTCAAACTGTAAAGACTTTCTGCACTGCCTAAATCATTTAAGGGAATCTAATAACAATATAAACGGAACATTAAAATCCACAGTTCATAAAATCCACATATTTTACCATGGAGTTTATTTACTGTTTAACTTTTGTAATGTGTGTCAGGCTCTTAAAGTAACCTTTTTATGCTTTTTAATTACTTTCTGATACACTGTCACGATGGTCTATCCTCTTATTAAACATGGACAATGTTTAATAAGAGCTAATGGATCAGTATGGTGTCACAGAGAGCAGAAATCCTTAATGTGGGCATCTCAGACGGCGAGCACGGAAGCCACACCCACCTGATGTTCAAACCTCCTGCTTTTTAGGAACAGCCAGTGAAAAGGAGAGGGAGGAAAAACAGACTGAGTGGGTTCATCAAGCCTGAGTATATTAGAAAAAGAGTGTTTTGAACTATAAATCACAGAGATGCACAAGTCCAAACTGTCAGCACGTGTCATTTGCATATTTGTGGCTACCTCAGCCCGTCTTCAGCCATGTCAGTCATTTACATTTTAACTTGTTAAAGGTGTGTCTGGAGGGATGGAGGGAAACGTTTATAAAGTGGGGGTTGGGCAAATAAAGCCGGCATAAGAGCAAAGAGGTGACGTGTGCATTTGTGTATCTGTGTGCTTGTGCAAGGTACCTTGTCCAATCTTGACAAATCCGATGATGATGATGAGCGCGAGCGCTAGAAGCTTGGCTGCCGCGAAGAAGTCCTGCACTCTGGTGGCCGCCTTCACGCTGTAGCAGTTCACAAAGGTTAACAACACTGCAAAAGAAAAGGAGGCAGAGAATAAGACCACAGAGTAAAAGAGGCCACTGACACATAAAGCTTACAGGTGTGTTACGCGTATAAGAAACCAATCTTGTAACCAGTCAAATTGCACAACTTTACCCTGTAATGTGTTTCTTCTGCTCCACTTGTGGGACCTAACAGTGAGTGTGTGTGATTGTACGTTCTGCTGTCAACATGACGCGAGCAGAGGAAGAAGTTACAGGGGTGACACATTTTACGAGAATAAAGTCTTTTCTCCTGTACCCATCTGTCTTTTAAATGCCCATGTACCGGCTGG